CATGAGTACGTATACATTTTAAAATGTTCTTATAATTTAAAAACACGACCATCAAATCCAACCCACTGAGTATAAAACATTTTTTATCAAACTAATTTTAAAATACATATTTTAGCTTTAACTTGCATTTCACACTTGAAAAATATTAATTAATTATTAATTTAGGTCGTGATTAATGTCAAATGAGATAGCTGTACAATATTTTATGTTGTGAAGTCACAAATCGGATATAATCCTAAGTACAATCGGTTCGACGTGAACCATTTTATCAGCGCGGATACAAGTTTCTCAATTTAACCAATTAATGTTAACTTCTATTAGGTGTAATGATCGGAGGAACGAATGGAAATGTGTGCTTGGGGAATTGGAGTTTACGAAATAGCTCGAATGTGTTAACGTCTCTTTGACTTTAAATTGCATTTACACCTCTTTGTGCTACTAATTTCCAGTATTTTTTGTGACAGAGGAGAACAGAAGTCAAAAATGTCTTTACATAACTACGAGTATAATGAACTAAACTCACGTTGTAGACCTATGTTAGCTTTGAAACTTGGGACATCCACATATATTAAATCGTAACGCCAATTTACTTTTCAGACGCTCGTTCAAATATGTGTAGTAAAATTGGATGTTGAATTACAAACATGCTGAGAACCGCACCCTCCACTTATTATTTGTTTCCTATAAGTTGCTTGATTGTTTCAAAGTAAGTTTTCACTTACTTTGAAACAATAGTGAATATTAAAACCGATTTTTTTTGTTGAAGTTTGACTCAAGAAAGTCTAGATAGTTTCTGATATCCTCATTAACAATATTCGCATTATTTTTGAAAATCGTTCAGTATAAATTTACAATTCAGTTTAAGGTATTTAGGGATTAAGAATTATTGATTTCCCGTGATTTAAATCTAGCAACTGCTTAGCTTAACGTATACCTTTCACAAGTGAAGGTAATCAAACATATATACGTAGATGTCCGAAGAAATTCCCATTTAACCATAAATATTGAATAATTATAAAAGAAGTATTCAACAACTTCAAGTGTGTTTAAAGAACGAAGGCATTAGAACATTACGTTAAATCGCTTTGGTTAGAATTGTGATGGCGTCCGAGGAAGGATCGATTGAAAGCTATTTCATACATAATTTAGCAGCACCATTATAGCCCAGTATACATGTGGTCAAGTCATAAGACAATTACTACTTTTTTTTTACTTTTATAATCTACATATCTCCGTATGTATCGTGAGTCAGTATATGTCAGTAGTATAACAATCATGGCGAACCCAGTATTGTGTTTAGAGCGAGAAGTCTAAAGTCCAAGCCAAGCCAACCAACACAGAACTGTGTCTGCCCTATGTCTCACATGGAAACAGAAGTTTAACTTACCTCTTGAGCACAACGCAACGCTCGTCAAGAGAGCTACCTCAAAGGATGAATCTTATGTATTTATTAAAATTCCGCTTCCGCTTGTGGCTAAGACCCGGTCACAAGTTACGTGTTGGTTCGGAATGAACAGTTATTTGGCCGCTTATTATGACCCGGACGTGTATCGCTACTGTAGCCATTATAATATGAACCGTGTTTTCTCACACCATGCCATATTTACTGACTGTCATAAAATTTTATGATTGGAGCGAAAAGTATGGAACTCCAGTAGATCGAACATATGCTAACCATTACTATAGAAAAGTTCAGTATAAACGCTTTTCCTAATTACTTAGGTTTTTTTTAACGGCTCAATACCCAAACTAAATAATAATATTTATTAGTTAGGAGTAAAACTATACAACAGTGCTAAAATTTTTAAACGAAATATTTCACATTCGTGTAGTCAGTAGTTTATCTTTGTGTATGTTCTGATAAGTGCTCACTGAAGAGAGAAATCTTTTGAAAACACTAAAAAAATAAACCAAAACCGAGTATTTAAATGTAACATTTTTAACAGTTTAAAACACGAAATATATTAGATAACTTATTTTTATTTATTTTCACTATGCAAGGCAAGATGTTTTAAATTGTTAAAACTATTTTATTTAAGTGTGTATACCTAGCTTAAACTGCAGACAATACTTAAACTTAAGTGTTAGTGTAACTTACGTAGTACCCTTATAAAACAAATTATATATATTGTTGGAAATCAGAAAAGCTCAACTACCCGCCACACTGGAGGCTATATAAACAAGCCTCAAGCAACGGCTGACACACTTTTTCGCCGCTCGTTGTGCGGAACGGACGTGCTGCCGGTCGATAGGATTTTGTTGAGTTTTAATTTATTTAGTTGTTGTGTTATTTTGTTTTTATTTTATTAAATCCGCTTCTTATGATTCCTAAAAATATATATTTCGCGTTTCCAACCTTTAGAATTGTTTTATTCAAAAAAACAGTTTTTAAAACGGCGTGATCTTAGGTATTTCTTTTCATTGTGTAATCCAAGCTTAGTAAGCTAGCTTGTGTTTGAATTTAATTGTTTTTAATCCGTATATGTATAATCTTGCTGTAAGAAAAAGCAGGTAAATATTTCTGTATCCTGCAAGGCTTATTACTACTTAAAACTGGGTTATTAGCAGGTATCGAAAAGTCTGAATAAAGTTTCATCTAGGTTATACGCACGTTAAGCCTAGGCAGAGAATAGTGAGGTCACGAATAAGGCCTAGATAAAAATATAACAGCGAATGGATCTAGGTAATAGGTCAATTAGAAAGTGAGAAAATTGTCTATACTTGTTACAGTTGATACACTTTTAAGAGTAATATCTAACCATCACTGGTTCAGTGGTTAGAATTGTTGAATTTGACGCGAGAGGTCCACCTGTTCGTATTTTAAACATTTGTAAAATGGTTTCGATCAGGCAACTTTAATAATAAATGCTCAAAGTACAAAATTAATCTACCTGTCTGTCAATCTGTATTGTAAATAATACAACAAAGCTTGGGATGTTGAAAACATAAGTATGTTGATATGAATTCCCTTTATCCAGGGAATATTGTGACATTTGTAATTATTGATGATGGTTTACAAGTAAATTTATAGAGAGAACATTTTGAATGAATGAATAAAAAAGAATGTATTTTATTAACAATTCGAAAATTGTCAGTAACATATTGGGACATATTTAAATCAAAATAAAGTTACAAGTTTTTGGGTTCACAAGTGTGACGTAATACATGTAGAGACATCTCAATATCTTTCTAAGGTCGATCGATTTTAATTCAAGGTTATCAGACTTGTGATCATGTCCAAATCACCTCGGCTTTGTTCTAAAATCGAATTTACTTTGTTTTACTAATACGCTACGAATGTGCTACGCTAGGGGGCGTTGACAACACATAAAGTATATAACTTAATCTAAAATACTTCTAAATAAAATAATTGGAATGGTATAAATCTAAATATATTGGTAAACTTATTTACTTATGTAAATATCGTGTACATCCTTCCGTAAATAGCACCGCTGCAAGGCATCCGAAACGTTGGGCCGTAGTTAAAATAAGTTGTAAATATTTTAACTAATATATTTCCCATTATATTACAAGTGCTTTATTTAAATATATTTTACTCGCGCTTTTGTATATCTGAAGTTATAGACTACATTATATATATACTAAATTATGTAGTCCTGCTGCATATTTTGTAACATTTATAAACCTACTCATTTATAATATAATCTAATCTTCCTTGTTTTGTAATTCCTTATACCGAGTGCCTCGTGCAATCCTTAAAAGTATTCAACTTTGTCGCCATCGCATGCGCCATTTTGAACCATGAGACAACGGCACAAAATGGCGCACATAAAGCAAAACCCGCGCTTCGAGTTATAGCGAAATAGTCACGAGGGAAGAATCCACGCGTCGCGTTTAAATTTGCAATTCTAGTGAGACCCTCTATGTTTTGATAAACAAACGTAAAAAACGGCTAAGTGTGAGTGGGTTTCCGTATATTTTCATACAAATAGAATAAAATAGGAAATTGTCAGCAATACGATCGCTTAGGTTATAGTTTGTTTAAATGTCCTTTTATTTGATACGACTATAATACTCATAACAAAGGTTCTAGAAGAAATAAAGCTATTATTTAATATGTATTTAAATTTGTTCGCATAAATATTACTATGATGTACTATTATTATTAGTGACTGAATGATGAAGTAGCAAAGTTAAACATGAGTACAGTAGGGGAGACTTTTAATTCGAACACCGGAAAAAGTTAATAAATAGTTTTGTTTGGCTGTTGAAGCGATATTTTATAGGCTTAACACAAAAATTTAATTTTTAATATGAACCAGTATTTCCTGAGATTAGCGTGGTCAAACAAACAAACACTTTAGCTTGTTATATAAGTATAGATTATTAGTTTTTTATTTTATTTTTTGTATGTGACTACTTTCTATAAAAGGATTTGCAAAAAAACATTCTGAACGAATGAAATGTGTTTTCATAATAATAATCGTTTACCGTTTGACACATTTTTCCTACAATAGAAAGTTAAAATATTGCACTCGGCCCGCCATAAATAGTCCCTGTTTACTTGTCTGCTCGTTTGTAACTGTCAGCGCGCTATGACGGACGCTGAAGGCTGTATCTGATCCTATCGCATTGTTGACGCTACTGGAATCTTTTCAACGTGGCCTAGATAAAAAAATAGAGGTGATTTGTGACAATTAAAATTAAATTACAACAACCAGGCTCATAAATAGTATAAAATTAAATAATCTAACGCGTTTAAATAAAACAATTTAACTGTTTAAAACGCTAATGAATTGTAAATAAGTTTAGCTAATATATAGCTAAACTTATTTACAAATTATTTTACATAATAAAATGGGCGATGGCACAAATCATGAATCATTATTACATACAACCGTCAAAATGTTCGAATCTCTGCGCAATATCAAAATATAAGTAAAAATTTATCTTGAGTTTCACCATCGACAAGAGGAGGAACGTGACGCTACTGGAATCATTATTTTTATAAACAACATTGATCTCAAATCGTCGATATAATGAAACGCACGTTGCACGGGTTAAATCTCACAAACTTACCACTTACAACTAGACTAGAATTTGAGAGGTAAAGTCCTTGTAATCTATTATGTAATTTTGACGCCTGTTGGTAATAGCAATGTATAGCAAATAATCAACGGGCCGTGGCTTTGATTCCCACCGGATCCAACATTCTAATCAATTTATATATAATTTTTGTGAAGCCTGTTGGAACTTTATTTGGAAATCCGGATATTAAATGGATTGTATTAATATCTAAATGATGAAAAAGCCGTCAAGTTTATTCGCGTTCCGATTTCAGTTTACGAATATCCAAAGGCCATACATAATAATGAATAGCCAACATAGTAAAACAATCACAATCAATTCAAAGTTTGTATCGGAATCAAAGCACTGTAACACGTCCTTTAAGATATAGGACGAAATGAAAGACGTTTCAGTGGCAAATTGACAAAGGACTGGAGTGTCTCATCGTTTTGGGTGACATAGTGAGATCGCGAAGAATACGTGATGAAACTCACAGATAAAACAAACGTGGCTTTTGGAAAATAATGTAGGTTCCGCCGATGTTTTATAGCCTACGTATGCGCTAAGTTTTTTCCATTTCTCAGGAGTCCCAATCGGCTATGAGGGAAAATATTTTCACTCGTGAACTCTGAAATTGAAAATGCCGTTGTATTTTAGAACAAGGGCCTATTAAGTGAAATGAATTTATCGTTATATAATTACATTAAGCCATGGCACACGTCGAAAAAAATAGTTTTTGTCGGATTTTTCATTTTAAAGCAATATTCTTCTCCAATGACGATTATCTATCATTTTAGGCAATGATAAATATTTTAAACTGTTAACCACACGAACATAAGCCCAATTTATATATATATTTATCAATTGAAGTGCCTTGTTAAGAGTTTTATTAGAATTAGGTTTAACACTTTTCTAATTATTTTATATTTCTAAAACGAGTTGGACTTCGTCTGGTTATTTGGATATTATATGGGCGGTAGGATTAGGTAGGCTGGCTATTTGGATAATAAATGTATATCTAAAATTTCGTCGCGGTCACGAACCACCGTCCACAGATACAAAAACCGTTAAGGTTAATCGCGTTTCGCCTTAATATGCAAAGCAAAATAGGCCGACAGCGCATCTTGAAGAAATGTTACATGGCTGGCCTTTTACCTTTTGTCAAGGCAATTCAATTCTTGTTTGTCTATCATAAAAAAATATTTAGTGATAGTTTTTTCTCTCTAAGTTAAAGAAGAAAATACAATAGGTATCTCCAACAAATTTCTCAGTTCTCAGTCCTGTCAGACTAAAATAGTTGTATAGTAATTCTGAGCGACAGCGCTAATATATTTGTTTTCTAAATCCAAAAATACATCGCTCGGTCCTCAAGCGACCACGTCCCAACACTACCTTACACTTTAACATAAAATTTCCTAGGTGACAAAAGTCACGCGCGGAAGCTCCATCACAATCCTAATATCCCTCAGGACTTCAGCAGCCATCTGCATACAAGTTTCACCCTTACAACCCTTCCCTAAGAACTTTAACTGAATAAAGCAGATATCACTCAAGTCTTTTTATTTCGCGTTCAGTAGAAGCGCAAAAAAGTGCTTTGAGCATAAAATCGCTTATATTAGAAAGTTTTACAAATTAATTTATTCGGTCTCGAATAAAACAGTAAGTTCAACAATTTTTAAATTTATGAAAGTTTTTTTTAATTAAGAACAATTACTACTATATACTAATATATAGCTGAAGAGGTTGTTCGTTTTTGTGTTTGAACGCACTAATCTCAGGAAATCAGGTTGGAATTTGAAAAAAATCTTTTTGTGTAGAAAGAATAGAGAGGGTTATAAAATATCGCGCTGTAAATAGGAGATAAGAAACAGCGATAAATGTCAAAAAAATTTGGATTTTTTTTATTCTATTCATCATTGTGAGTTTCCGATACGTACGCGGTTCAAGATGGCAAAAATATGTATGAAAGAAAGACTATTCTTTACTTGATCTAAATATGTATGTCTATTGTAAAAAAATATAGATAGATACGTGTAAGTGTGTAGATGTTTTTCTACGGATATAACATACCTAATAACTACGAGTCTAATATTTTTTTATTAATTAATTTGTTAACTAACGCAATATAGGAAACGGTTTAAAACGCGATATATTAGTTAAACTTATTTGAAAATGATCTTTAACTTCGGCCCGACGTTTCAGTTGCTTTGCAGCAGCCGTGCAACTAACTAACCGCCACGGCTGCAAGTTTAACTAATATATCGCGTTTTAAACCGTTATAGTGTTTTATTTAAATGTGTACTACTCGCGTAAACTATAGACAGTATTTATATTTATCATTCTTTTACGTGTCTTAAAGTACCCAAATTTTCACAAAAAAAAACGTTTCAATAAACAGTAAGTTCACATCTATACCATACAACCTAGTACTAGGGAATTACACATACATAATAATGAAAGCGTGTATCGACAGTTCTTGTACGATAAAAATTACATAAAGTATTGAATCCACTAGTGGATTTCGCATGGATATATTTTTAAATCAATTTTTATGCCAATCGCCAGTTTTATTAATCGTTGCACGGGAAAGAATTCAATGACTATGAATAGTAAATTTCACTTCAATTTATTATACTTTTGAAACATTTTTATGACCACTGTTGAATAATTTATTACTTCTGGTAGCGAGTCTATATAATCGTGACATAATTTTAACACAAATAGTATTCTAAAATAATTATCGCTTTGAGTAACGAAAAATATAAATCGTAGTTACACTCTTTTTTATTAGTGGCTTAAATAAGTTTTAAGCTTAAAGGAGAAATATAATAGTTTTAATTAAACAAATTTATTTTCAGTCTTCAAATGATTACTGTAAGCATTGAAGTAGTTACATAATGTTTTCTCTGGTCATGAAAAACGCCTTACCTAATATTAACTTGCTTATCTATATAACAGACTACGTTTTATCCAATAGATGGATAAACGATATAATTATATTGTGTACTTCTATCCAATTAATGTAAGTGGCTATCGCCGTTTTAATTGATACAAAAAAAAATATATTGCATATCTTATACAATAATAATAATTATTATTATTGCATATCTTACGTTTTCTTTACTTTACATTTTGTACGTTTAAATGAATTTATCAAAAGTAATAATATTTTTATGTTTTGTTCCAGTTTTGACGTCCGGGGAAAACATTTATCAGAAGCCCGCCACTGGTCAGCTCCAGAGGTGTTTGGACCACGGGCCCACTTTTCCACATCCCCACCTCCAGCTTCCCTTCTCGTGAGGGACGTAAAGAGACGTGATGAAGGCGTCTACCGGTGTCGTATCGACTTCCGAAACACGCAGACTACTAGTTTTAGATACAACCTCACAGTTGTTGGTAAGTTGCATCGTATATAATATATAATAACAGACATATTATGTCTGTTATTTTATGTATTTATATAATCTGTAATTTTTAGTTATTCATAAGAACAGTACATTTAATAGTCTTATCTATCCTAATATATAAAGCTGAAAAGTTTTTGTGTTTGTTTGAACGCGCTAATCTCAGGAACTACGGGTGGCAATTAAAAAATATTTTTGTTTTGGTTAGGACATTTATTGAGGAAGACTATAAAACAACGTGCTGAGAGTATTGGGAGCGAAGAAATACTGTAAAATGTTGAAAAAACGGGGAAAATTATTCATATTTTTTGGTTTCCGATGTATACCATGCGAAAACTGTTCATGATACACAAAAATATGTATCAGAAAATAATTCTTCTTTAAATGAATCTATCTGTTAAGATGAACTTGCAAGAACAACGGGACGCAACCGACATCGTAACAGCTTATATTTGTAAAGATGAAGAGGAGGTTTGTAAAAACAAAAACTATTCTCCCGGACGAAGTAGCTGACACCGCTAGTATTAATAACATTAAATGTAGGAACAAACGTAGCACTTCAGCGAATATTTCAGGATATGAAAACGCTTTCAATATGCGAATGAAACAATAAACCTATCGTAATTTATACGCATTTTTTATTGAAATTGTAAATTTTCGATATTGTTACTAAAAAGCAATAATAAGAGAAATAATCTTTAAAAATTACGTATTAAATGTGTTACCCTTAATTAAAAATCGATTATAAATTGAAAAATATTACGACTCGGACAGGAGCACTCGAGACATCGGAGCTCAATCGGTCAACCAACAGCACGAAACGCTGTGGATGTCTGTTCAAGTCCTGCCCGGGTCGGATTTAAAAAAAAAATATTATAAAAATATTAAATATTACAGAAATAGTAATAATTATTATTGTTACTACTAATAATAATAATAATCATTATTATATTTTATTATTATTATATTATTTATTTATTATATTAATTTATTTTTGAAATTTTATATTTATTTGTGTTTTTATTTATTTATGTTATTGCCATCATGGGCAACATGTGAAAATTATTAAAGTTTAGAAATGCGACACTCTTCTTCAAACGCAATAGCTTCGAAATAACTAATTCAATAGCTCTAACTTCGTAGTGCTAAATTAAGCTTCCGCGGTGTACGTGTATTGGAATTCATACGTATTCATAAACTAGGACCGGTTTAATTGTTTGGTTTCGACTCACTTCGGAATGTGCTGCATTGTACCGGGCAGATATATGAGAACAAGACGGTAAGGCTGCCAGTAAACTTGGCAACGCCGCGGCTGCTACATCGATTACCTTACGTAAATCAACGGGAATGGCTTAGTTCATTTAAATTTCTTCGCTTTAGGTCGGAAGCTGGAAAAGTTTTACAATGTTTATCGTAGATTTACTATTAAATAACTTAGATTGTTTCTTAAAAGTATGTATGCAAAATACCAACGATAACTTTTTAAGTCGCCTGTCAAGTACAAGCATACTTTTTAATTGCCACGGATCCATGGAAATTATTTTATTTGTAAAAGAAGACTAAAAGAATAATTAATGAGTCAAATGAATGCATATATATCGTTGTCTTACCTTTTATTCGGGAGTGATTGACATAATGTCCTTTTAATTGAATGTTGTAATTTAAAAGATATAATGAATAAATCACTATTTAGCACTTTTAGAATTCGTGTTTAGTTAACCAGTTTTTACAAAATATCAAAGTTTTATAAAGGGAACTAACAAATCGACGTGGTATAATTGTGAAACGACGAATTTAAAATAATTTAAAAAACTCAAAAGTTCTTGCTAAAACGAAAAAACGATCTTTAAAAATTACCTAGTGTATAGAGAGCCTAAGTAGCTTAAGGAAGCTCCACGTAACTTATGGGTACGGCTGAAATGCGAGCTTTAAGGCTTATTATTACACTCGGCGAATGCTCGAGCGCTGTAACTTCATTTGGGTTATAAATTGGTGTCATTTTAAGAATAGTATTGTAGGTAACGGAAATTTTTGCAACTACTGTATTGTTTACACTAAGAATGAAAAGAGATACTTAACAGGATATATATGTAAACAAAAATTGTCGTAACCATTTGTGTTAAGTTCTATGTCAAATTATTTGCATCAATTGCATCAAACACCTGTCACGACTTTAAGTAGCTTAAGGAAGCTCCAGTAACTTATGGTAGTGAAATGCGAGCTTTAAGGCTTATTATTACACTCGGCGAATGCTCGAGCGCTGTAACTTCATTTGGGTTATAAATTGGTGTCATTTTAAGAATAGTATTGTAGGTAACGGAAATTTTTGCAACTACTGTATTGTTTACACTAAGAATGAAAAGAGATACTTAACAGGATATATATGTAAACAATATAATTGTCGTAACCATTTGTGTTAAGTTCTATGTCAAATTATTGTGCATCAATTGCATCAATTACACCTGTGTCAGCGACTTCACGTAGAATAGTCCACGTAGAATAGTCATTTTAGGCATCAAAATTTGCTTTTTTAAACCTCTTGTTCCACTCTATAGATCTAAGCTGTTACCGACGACGTCATCCGCGGCCCGTCGTTCTTGCGAGTTTGAAAAGATAAACATATAGTGTCGTGGAAATTTTTTGGACCATTTTAAGAGACATTAGACCGTTTTCGCAGGGTACGGAACAAAAGCCCAAAATGGTGAATAATTTCCCCTTTTTCTTATTTAGCTGTTTCTTCGCTCCTCTAAGTTGCAGAGTGATGTTTTATAGCCGTCCTCGATACATGTTCTTATCAAAAATAATTTTTCAGTTCCAACATATTTTTTCATAAATTTGTTTATTATACAACATAAAAAAAAAACTACATATGTCTGCACTGTTAGATACTAAAAGCTTTAATCGTGCTCATAGCGAATTTCCCCGCCTCAAAAGAACCAGGCCACAACACACACCCTACCAAACGAAATAAATGCCCACCATAATCGTATTGTACTTGTAATTTATCGTTTTTTCTTTGTTTTATTTGACATTTATCTACACCTCTCACCTTCAGGCGCCTGGAATGAAAGCTATTAGCATTTTCATGACATTTAAATCTAAGGTCACACACATTTTTACACTTTCTGTTACTTAAGCTTGAAATATTACGCGCTTATTACGATAGGGTCGGATATATTTAGATTTGAATTTAATAACAACTTTAAAAAAATTTAATATTTTTCACATATTATTGTACATAATTGCACTATATAAATAAAAAATCGATTATATGTATTTTTTTAAATGACGACTCGGACAGGACTTGGACTCGGTAGCTCAAGTGGTTTTATTTTGATGTGAGAGGTCCTAGATTCGAAATCTTGGCTATGCTTCAGTGTGGACACAGAAGTCGATCACTTGCTTGAATGAATGTTGATAAGAGACATGGTCATATAAATGTGTCCGTCTTCTGCTTGACGTAAAGCTCGCTGGTTTTATTCTACTTTTGTATGATATTTTAAACAATTAGTAAAAATAAATAATAAATCTAGTTAAAAAAATAAAACACAAAATTAGGAATTTTCACTTAAATATTGTATATATTCAGATTTCAGCCTGTATTCTGACTACTTACAAATGTCTGATAAAGCAGTATAACATACTCACTACAATACATTTAGCTTTTTATGCATAAAGGTAACATACTTCCTCATAAACTTTTGCTTTTCATAATATTTCTAAGATTGTTTTATGGTGTACTGTATATACTGCGATTATTAGTATATTTTCCTTATTGTTCCCCAAATCACACATGGCCCGGCTACACAACACCACCTCAGCCACTCACAGCGTTAATTGGATGGGTCTTTTTAACACCCGCCTCGTTAGCTCACTCATTCGTTTCTTTATTGAAATTCGATCACTCAGTTTACTGCCATTCAATTTCAGCTGCTTTAAATTCGACGCCGGTTCCGCAGTTCAGTTCCTTTCCCCCGGGGTGCGTTGTACTGTTGACCGATTTTACGCTGCTATGCTCAGGACAATTTTACTTAGCATAATGTTTGTTTGTTTTCTCCATTCTGCGCGACGTTTTAAAATGGTTACGTCTTTAAGTTACATAGGACAGTCACATGCCAGTACATGTATGTTCTTAATCAATTTCATCAACAAGTAATCAGATAGTAAGACCTCTGTAAATGCATGTTTTAAAATACTATGCCACGGAGTAAATCCATTGTCAGAAGGATTTTCGTGGAAAGACTGAATTAGCAACATCCATGAAGTTTATTCCAAACTATAGTTACTCACTTGTAAACCAGCCTTACGTAAAAAAACACAGGAATAATGACAACTATCCTACGGCTAAGTTTCAAGCTGGCATTAGACATTTTCTCAAATTCTTCAACTAACACTTCACGGGAGTCAAATTTTGTGCCAGATATAAAACTTATATAATATGATAACCTCACAACCATCAAATTGCGCCACTCAAACTCGTATCTATGTATACGCTGAACTGACTCCAGCGAATTTCATCTATTCGATTAATGTCCCATTCACGTCCCGAAGTTAACAATTGAATTTTAACTTTAAACCTTGTTTATAATCCATTAAAGATCCGGGGGATGTATTGGTATTTTGTTGTCTTTCTATTAACCCCCGTGGGTAACACAATTTTCAATTCTCATTTAAAACTTTCGGTGAGGTTTTAAGTGGTCATTAATATTCACTCGGTGTGTTTTGATTGATTTTGTGTTAGCCTTGCGGCTACCGTGGTTTACGTTCACCAATTCGATCGGATAGGTCGTTTACCTATAAGAAATATTCGGAAACGTCAAATAAATGTCATAAAATGCAAATGTGTATGGTCAATTTTTCTGGGTCTGGGTGAGTTTCGAGCTCACTCTAATTCTAATCGTTAAGCGAGCGTCTTGTGTAGAGTCAGTATTAATCACGAAAGAACGCGTTATACGCCATTGCCTGTATCGAACTTACGGCATTGCGTTTATTCATTTTCAGAATATTTAAATTACTGCTATTTAAAAAGTCTTTGGTATTATTAGTATTTTTAGGATTCTATCGAGGCTCTAATTTTAATTTTTAAACCGCATCTATGACATCTTACATCACGGACTTAGAACGATCGAAAAGACCTGGCAAGACACTCGCTGTCGTTCTGTTTATCGCCAATTACCCATGTCAATTCCTGCCTTTCCGATTAGAGCAACTAAAATATTTAACTTTGAAATTATAAACATCTTTATATACATATGCATGTCTCTCCCTTTTATTCATATTATTCACGAGCACAAATTAATTCATACGATTTTTGTCCACTGTAGTCAATGTTTCCTGAATTAGAGGCTGAAGTTAGATTGGGCGAGCCCACTGTGTCGAATGTAAAACCCAATTGGGCTTTGACGCTTTAACGGTACCGAAATAACCCATCTAAAATAGACAAAGTGTATCATTGAGACATACAACAATGGACCTTATTCTGGAGAATGTAAGTCTTAATTAAATGTAGCATCGTTCAAACGGTGGCCTAATGCTAATAGAAGCTCACTGTTGGCAATCACCTGGTTGTATCTGACTGATTAATTGCATTTAGCTCATCCCATAATATTGTTTATTTCAGCGGGTTTTAATTAGTAAGACATGTTTGAATGGCACAATCAATACTAAATTGAAGAGGATATATTTTCTGTTATCGCGAGTAGTACACATTAATAAAAACACTACTACGTGAAATATAACTAGGATTTGCTGTTGAAAAGCATTGGATAAGTTGCGCCGTAGTTTAAACATGAAAGTGTATTATAATTCTCGTTTTAAACCGTTTAATTTCACTTAAACAGTTTTTAGAAAGAGAGAAAACCCGTTATCCGTTTGATTTTTTTAAAGTCACAAATGAGTTGTTAGAGAAACGGCACTCAAAATTGTTAGACGTTTGTTTGACTACCGTATTTGTCATTAATTTTACAATGTTTGTTCTGTAATGTTAATTTACATAAACTCTGTTGTACGTAATTCTTATGCCATTAATAAAAATGAAAATAGTAAGTTACAACTTACTTTATACAATGAAGGAACTATTTAAAAAACTTTGAGTACAATAGTACTCAAATATTAATTGTATTGCTATTTTAAAATACAATACAAATTACCTCATTACAATATTTTATGTATTCTCTCGGTCTGTTTTTGTAGAATCACATTAAAAACGTATCTTTGCATAAAGATAAATATTGTTATTAAAATTTATACCATCTGACAAATAGAATAAAAATCTATTGAATGCATTTTAAATCTAGTACGACACTTTATTTGTTCACACCGATTCCGTATTATTTTGCATCGTTTGAATAAACTTCCTGTTCGATCGTTATAAAGTTTTACAGATTTCCACGTATTGGAGCTTTGAACAAAAACTTGTCACGAGAAAACCGCAGCTTGCAAGTTCTGCCGTTCCACGTTTACAACTTTGAATGTTCTAGATTTTTTATTCGAGTGCCAAGTAAAAAGTAGACTTCTCTTTTTGTCTTTCGATCCATATTTTAGTTTAGAAAATAAGTATGCATTAGTATGACCGCGACTGACTCAAATATACTCTACAGTACTGAGCCTAAATACGACAGTCGACAGAGTATCTCAATTATAGGTTTGGGTTAACCCTTGGGTTTGGGTTACTGACATAAAATAACGTTGCATTAATCTTAATGATCTAGAATGATGATATAGATCTCTTTACTATATTCGAACCCTAAAGAAACATTTTCGTTTTGGCAGGACACAAAACTCTAATTAACTAAACTTGTGTCTACTTAAGTTGACGTAACGTGACTTTAAAAAAGATAGTCCTATACGGTCCCGGATATTTTTTACATTTTACTTTTTTATAGATAATTCATTTCCTTTCCTAATAAGAACCGATATCCTAATAAAGATAGATTTTGATTTTAGTTACCGTTTTCGTAGCGCACGCAACGCTAGTCCTCAAAGTTGAATATCTTTCCCGTCTTTTCCTCATTTCCAGCTGTGTTTTCGTTCCTATGAATCACGACACAATTTTCTATAGTCACAATTACATTTTCTAACCAACAAAAAAAATATTTTTTTCAATTCAAACCACTAGTTCCTGAGAATAGCGCGTTCAAACAAACAAACTCTTATAAAATAAATTTAATCAAATAAACTCTCTAGTTTTATATTAGGTTAATAATATACAAATTAAATATACAATAAGAAATTACAAAACTAATAATATTATGGAGGCAAAACTTTGGTCAGTTTTTTATTGTATACTTTATCAATTTCCGCCAGCATATAGCTCGCTTGAGGAGCCTTGAAAAGCAGTGTTGAAGTTTTATCACCAACAAAATTACCGAGTTGAGTGGTTTTACGGACCAGGATAACAGTTTTCGTAAAATGTTTCGTTCAGTTTTTAGTATCTAGTACTGTGAATTTTTAATTTGGTAAATTAAAGGTGTTCTTTTTTACAGTACCACCTGAGAAGCCTGTGGTGGTGGATCGATGGGGTCGAGTCATTAACAGCACTACTTTGGGCCCTCATGAAGAAGGGGATGACGTTTTATTAACGTGTAGAGTTCTTGGGGGTAAGTAAATAATTCTTTATAGACGCACCTTTACTAAGAAACACCTTAAGTATACCATTATATTTAATCATTAATTTAAAAAAACGGTGTTACCGTTATAGTCACGAACAATAAAAATCATATGTTTTTATAACATAACAAATCAATGGCATTCACATAAAAATCTAATCGCGTAATAATTTTCAAATACAAAAATAAACCGTCATATTAATATTTTAAACTTATTACTTTCATCAGTCTTAAAATATTTTACTTATAACATTATTATTCAATGTTGTAGAAATGTATCTCGTTTAGTACGAACGCATTTTAACATCTAACTAAAAACAAATCAATTTCTTATAACAATTACTATTATTATTACACAGTGAAAAGTTCACTCAAAGAATTTTCACTTGGCATAAGTCGTACGTATTGGATACTCAATGTTTGCTCGGCTCAGCTCAATAGAACATGAAAATGCTTTTATTTCTGAGTACAAAGATTTCTTTTCTAAAGAAAATTGCTTGCAAATACCTGGAAGTACTTAAAGAGGGGACGAGTTTCAACTTTATAAATGTTATTGAATGGTTTTGACAGTTTTTCTAATGGCGATCACAACATATTTTAAAAATAATTTTGTCATATTAAATAAAGTTCTCGTGTATCATCAAATAATTTTGATGTCACATTTGTCGTATTTTTAATCAGTGGTTTAAAAAAATCTTCCAGCAGTATAAACCAAAATAAAAGATACAATCACATAAAATATAGCTTCATAGACTTTTTGTACGTATTCCTAAATCAATGGAATTTATCTGGAAATAATTTAGAAAACAAAGCAACAGGTGGCGTTATTATTAAATCCTTACTGCCACCAATCTTCATTACAATGACATTTACCCACTCCACTCCAGAATTTATTCTTTCACCTGCTCCTTAAGAAATGGCCCCCAATCAATTTCTCGATTATGCAAATTGGTGAAAACCCGGCGATTTTGAAATCAACTAGTCCATATTGGAGAAAAGGATCGAATTGATTTACAGGCGATTGGAATTTGTTCAACACAATATTTATAAAAGTACTATCTTTATATCTTATTAATGGTAGAGGAGGACAGACATGGCATTGGGTTTACTTAGTAGGTGATATATACGCCAGCCTATAAGCATCTAACGAAGAAGCCGAAACGCGATTAAGCTTCACGGCTTATCCATCTGTGGACCTGTGATCCGGACGGAATTTCTATATTCCACTTATTTAATATCCAGATTTCTAGACGAAGCCCAGCATGTTTCAAAAAAATTGTAAATTGAAAAATTAGAAACACGATGGGACCTGGTGGCGATCGAACCCACGCCCCGTTGATTGTTAGCCATACGTTCCTACCATTAAACGAGTCCGTCAAATAATAATGATACTAGTTATTTATATTATTGTTTATCAGCGCCAAACAAAAGCAGCAATTAATTGTTCTAATTCAATATAACAGTAGTGCAGAGTATATTCTATTAGTGAACTAATAGGCGGTGCGCTAATGAAAATTCAATATAATTACTAAGTCACAGTTCAATATTATAATTACCGGCGTATCGACGAGGAACAGAGTGGTATTTGTCTAATTAGAAAGCCGTTTATAATTGAGTACGCAGTAATTGGTGTAATGGTATAAAAGATTGGGATTGAAGACCTGGGACCTGGGATTAACAAATTATGTAAGGCTTTCACGGCCATCGTTCAGCTTATCATTGTTTTCCGGGTTGTCCGGCCGATGTGAGCGAGAAGAGGTTCTCGAAAAAACGACAAATACAAAATCACCGTTAAATAAAATATCAACATGAACAAATTCATTATTTCAGCGGCATGTTTGCGCAAACACCGAAATCTAATTTAAATAAGCATTGCTTGTTTATCAGAGTAGAAAAACAGTACAAGTGTAGTCCTTATGCTAAAGGGAATAAATGTCAATTTGGCGTTTAATTATAGCTTTTGGGCTGAGTCTGAGCACTGGAGTACGCTTGCTCGTGACCTGCTTTATTCGCAATTACAAAAAGGCGAGAGCTGGTTTGATTGATTTTTGGAATGACTAAGTAAAATACTAAGCTCACCATTTGGTTTTATTACTCAACTTGCAGAGTTACACAGTAAAAAAAATACTTGTAACAATTTAAAATGCTTATATCCCATTTAGTTAACGTTTTTATTACAACCCGACGTTTCGGATGCTTTACAGCAGCTATGGCCACAACCACACATACGATTATAAAATAAAGTTCGATAAGTTTTTTTCTCATTCATATTTTAATTTTTATAGGCATGAAAGATCGAATTAAAATACTGCTTACGATTGTTCAAAATGAATGTTAAAATAAGTAAGTGGTATAATTTAAGCTTTGTAAATGGAAATCCAGGTGAAGTAAATGCTTATTTGAACATAACAAGAGTTCCGACGGCGACTAATTTAAGGAAACGTCAGGCAATACGAGATTCAGAATTAGAATTGGATCTTTCCTGTATAAACTCATTAAAATTGTTAACTTTCTTGCGAGTTAAGTGCAGCTATTCTGTTCAGTTGCATTTTGTTCGGAAATAAATTGAGAATTGTAGTTCCACTTCAGTTAAAATCAAAAAGAGCCACAGAAACTAAATACATATAATAAAAATACTGTCTATAGTTTACGCGAGTAGTACACATTTAAATAAAACGCGATATATTAGTTAAACTTATTTGAAAATGATTTTTAACTTCGGCCCGACGTTTTGGATGCTTTGCAGCAGCCGTGACCACGGCTAAATATATCGCGTTTTAAACCGTTAAAGTGTTTTATTTAAATTTATACATATAATAAAGTAAATTGTCCAACTTACCATGACTGCACTATATGTATATTGTTCAATATGAATATTAGACATAGTATGTATAGCCCAGTCATTGTTTTATTATAAATATTATTTTCAAAAGATAATACAGCCACTAATGAGAACGTTCGTAAGCTACAAGCATAAGCTGTTTCCGTGAATAGGTGCATGCCCCAGCAACTTCGAGGAACTCAAATCCAAATTGAAACCATTGACACTTTGAATTAGATTGGACGCACTAGGAACACTATTCGTGATTTAATTTGGACAAAGTGGTCGAAGGCAAATCTTACAGCGGAAACTCGTGTGAATTGCTTTCAGTTGGCGTTTTGTCCATGTGTTGAATTCGATAATTTTCGCAGGAACTTAGCGTGGTGATTTGTGATTACTGAGTGTTAGGAGGAATCAGTTATGTTCAAAAATATAAGTAATTCTTTATTAATTTTCAAAAATTGAAGCAATACTAGTACTGTACATACTATTTTGATTGTGTTTTAATTCTTTGAATTTAGTATTAAAAATTTAAAAGAATTATATATTTACAAAGTGAAATAAAATCAATAAACGAACACTGTCTATAGTTTACGCGAGTCGTACATATTTAAATAAAATACTTTAACGGTTTAAAACGCGTTATATTAATTAATATATGCTTAAATCAATAAAGAAACAAAAATTTTAGAAGCAATATTTTACTAAATTTCCATATTTCGCAAAATGCTTTTAGAGTGATTATAAGTAATTTATAATAAATTAGTAAAGTTTTTTAGATTAAAAAAAAAAGTAAATGACATGCATTTATTTGATGATATGAAGAAACATATATACAGTGAATAACAAATACATATTTTTACATATCCAGGAGTTTTTATCATATGATAGTCATATGTTGAAATGTTAAATATATTTTTTCTATATCAAAATAAACACAATCCTTTTAAGTTACTAGTAACGATTTTCGCAGATCCTACTGCGTAGATAGTTCACGCTCCTATTGACAATGTTATAGCATTTTTTTTATTAGAAAAAAAAAGTGCTACACTTAAAAATCCTCATTAAAACTAAAAAAATAAAAGCAGCGTAATACAGTAATTACAGTATAACAACGCACTCATTACGGTATTGTGAATATATTATCTTTACTGTCAAGGTTCGTTATCATTAAATTTTTTCGTTCTGAATGTGTGCTGAGTGGATTAAGGGGCGCCCCTGTTTGGTATAATCAGGTTGACATATTTGTCTAGAATGTTTTATTTTCTAGCTTGTGCATATTGAAGGCATCTCATTAAAATTCTTAATACTTATCATGGTTAGAGCCATCGCGTTCCTTTGTATGACTTTAATTGGGCCTTTGTCACTTGAGTTGTTCTATGTTAAGAAAGCCAGCATGGGGTCGATTGGCGAAAATACTCTAGTCATATAACATCTAACATAGATGCGCTATCAACGTATTTATTTTTAGATATCGGAAATCCACAATTTAGAATCGAAACGCGATTAAGTTTCACGGCGACTAACTGAGGACGGCGTTTGAAGACGCTGTAGTTTTGTCATGACGATTATTTCACTTACATAGTTAGCATAGTCATATATTATATTTTCATTTATTTAATTAATTAAAATTCCTACAACATTACATTAAGTTCATGTATAACTAAAAATTATGCGTAATTAAGTATTTCAGACTTAAGTAACTATTACAGTACAAATATATATTATACAACTACGAATCTATACATATAATTGAATAAGTGATAACAAATTTAAAGAAATATTATACTGAATTTAATGTATAAATAAGCTTAACATTCGAAAGTTTTCATTTTTTTCTGTATCGTAGTTGTTGTTCACTTGATGGAAGGTAGCTGTTTCTAATCAATTTAAGTAAATATTGAAGCATCAATTTAAATTGATAAGAAGCATGACCCGGTGAGGATCGAACCCACGACCCGTTGGTTGTTAGCCATTAGATTGCTAAAATTATACCAACAAGCCCGTTAAATTTTAAATATTATAGTAAAATAATAATATCCACTTTTATTTCAGGACGTCCTGAACCCTCAGTTAGATGGCTAGTCAACGGAGTGTTAGTTGACGAAGAGTACGAACATAACACTGGTGACGTCATCGAGAATAGGCTCATGTGGCCTGCGATAAGGAGGGCTGACTACGCAGCGGTCTTCACTTGCCAAGCAGCCAATTCCCACCTGGTTCCACCCAAGGAAGTCTCTTTGGTTTTGGACATGTTTTGTTAGTATTACAGAGACATTTATTAACCTTAGTTTCGATAAGTTTTGCCTCTTGTTTACACGATTATTAAGTATGCAACAAAACAATTTTAACAATTTAAAACGCGAAAAAAAACTTTTTCTTTTAAACTACATACACAGCACGCGGCTTCGGTTATTGCAAAGTATCAAAAAGCGTAATTAAAATAAATAAGGACAGATTTTTTTGTTTTTTTATCAGTAAGACCACTAACAGTAGAAATAAAGAAACCAGCTGAGATGGGGGACGGCGGTGTACTCACGGCAGAGCGACGGTACGAAGTTGCCTGCGAGTCAGCCGGTAGTCGACCACCAGCTGTTATCACTTGGTTCAAAGGAAAACGGCAATTGAAGAGAATAACTGTAAGTACTAATTTTTAAGAACGCCTCGCCTATATCTTGGCTAGATGTGTCAGCGGCTTCAATTTATTTTTGCAAGCATCCTCCTTACATTAACAGATATAAGCTGTTAACCGTGACGTCAGACGCGACCCGTCGCTCTTGCAGACGAAGCTTAGATAGCTTGTTGTCTATACATAAATAATTAAGAAATATAAACAGTTGCAAATTGCTCTAGATTTTAATTAATCTAGTAGAATGGAAATGTGCTCATTCCAGACACTTTTTCTAATGGAAACGTATCGTTAGATAATTACTTATTAAGAATAGGCAGGTATTAGAAACCCAAATTAAAAATATAACTTTAAAAAGTTCCATAAATTAAGGAGGAATTAACAAAATATATTGTCCCGTAGTCCACTTAATTACATACCAAAACAATTAATATGCTTTTATTGAGAATCGATTTTGTTAATAACCGTTTTTGTTACGAAATAATAACTCGTTAATAACACAAAACGTTAACCTATGGAAATTATTTTAGAGCGATAATAATCATGTATAGCGGACGATTATAACAATGGCCGAAAGAAAACTGGCATTTAGCCAACGCCTGCTCCAAAGTGCCGCGCGATCACGCGATACCAGGATATCGAATCGAAAATCGATACGATAACAATTTTATTCGATCCAATTTAAATAGAGTTTTACTGACTTTCGTATGTCGCCACCTGGTGCACGGCGAACGAACTAATATTGACAATGCGACATTCGTTGTTTCTTTATAGCAGGGTATGCTTTCGTGAATTAAGAATTGGTATTGCATTTAAATATTGTCTGTGTCGCAGGGCCCGTGACCACGGGCCCTGCAGAGCCTCAGACATGTCGGGTTGTAGTTAAGACTTAATTTAAAAGTGTTAATTTAAATAAATCCTTCTACGCGAAATATCTTAGTTAGACTTATTTAAAAATTATTATAACAACGTCCCGACGTTTCGGTGGCTTTGCAGGAGCCGCGGTTACTGGGAGACAAATCCTAATTTAAATATTTAAAAAAACAGGAGCGAATCGCGCCAATAACCAACATATTTTTTCACTTATAGAGGCCCTCAAATCAATGGCTATTTTATTGATGATACGTAACGTCAATAGCGTAACCAAAGAAGATTCAGAGTTTAAAATCTGATTATTATGAAGATACCTAGTATTACTATTGCTTATATTTGGATTTATGTGGAGGACAAACCAAATGTCGATATTTGCTTGACAATTAACACGTATGCCTAGCCATACAGTTGTAGCCATAACCGTAAGTCAGGCGAGTACCGATTGAGATTTAAGCGACCGCTCTAACGGTTAATGTCCCATTAGCTGGACACTCGTGTCTTTGCGTCCATGTTGCGTCCATGATCATAGAGTTAATGATATTTGATTTGCGGGGTACCCACTAATCCAATCTTCAAAACTTAGTAAATAGACATAATACTAACAGCTAACCTTTTAGGTACTCTACTTAGTGTCACGTAAATTTTATTAGACCACATCTATAAGTACTTGTGCATGTTTAGTTTCTTTCATTAGAGGAGTACATATATGGGGTTTATCTTCATAATATAAGCAACCTTTTTCGGCTTTGGTTTTCCAAAACAGACTACAGACGATAACGTGATATTACACGTTACGTTTTTTTACATAAGTTTTCCCATAGAGAAAAACTAACCAACGAGGCTTTAAAATTATTTCAAGCTCATTTTATACAGTATAATCAGTTGAAATACAAAAAAATAATAGTTTGTACTTTGTTTGAATATATACTATATATTATATATGCCTGGCGTCAACAAATTTATGCTATCTAGTACGCCATACATTACCGCTTATCTTACAAGATATTGGCCTGTAATACGAAGGGTTATTATACGTTAATCATTGACGGATTGATACATCGCTCGCTACACACGTTAAGTCCATAGCACACAGATGCTCGTGACGCAATGTATGTAACGTAATAAGACCGGGCCGCATTTAGTCAGTAATTATCGGCAATGATGAAGACCGGCTGGCAGTAGTCCAGCTCGATAACTAGGGATGCCCGATCCAATATTTCATATCGATGGTATCGATCTTTTGGCGGACCATTAAAATTGTGGCGCAATCGGAAGTTAATTTCGCGTCGGATACATTGCTGATAGCTGATATGACGATATAAAATTTATATAACGTTTTGTCTGATATTAAATTGAAAACAATATCGGTTTTGGTGTCTTTTATGTTTGTATTGTTTACGGAACACTATAATAACTAATTCATTTTATATATAATATAAATATCTGAAAATTACATAAACCTGTTCAAAATAGCCTATGTTACATTGAGAAATTGAATTCGAATTAATGAATAATATTTTCGTTATTCAATAGGCACCTACTAAACGCTTTAAAATATAAAATATATTGTTTTTTTAAATAGTAGAATTTTCAGGTTAGAGTTTTAACTAAGCAATATCAATAAAAACTTAAATTGAACAACAATATTTTCAAACAGAATATGAAAGCAACGTCTAATGAATCTTTCATCGACACGCAAAAACATATTTCAGCGTGACATCACTATTAAAAGTGACTTCCAAAGTAGCACAAGGTAGTTGGAGGCACAAGTTGCGGCATTGTCGCAAAATCTAGGCTGAATTAAATTTCACTAATGATGGAAGAATTGCAAAATCCGTCAAGTGTGCTAAGTTGCCAAGTCTACATAAGTTTATATCGGAAGAACGAAATTCTGCTGTAATAACGTAAGAAACATCTGTCTTTTTATTAACAGGGCAGCATCTCTTAGCTTTCTCGCTATCTTCAATCACATTATTCGTAGCCAAATGCTTACTTTTAAAATTAAGTAAACCTGCTTGATTACCTCCTTAATAAAAGACTAAATAAAATAACTATGTAATTATATACAGCAAATTAATTCTCATTATATGAAAAGTTTTTTAAGTCCATTCATTATTTGCTTTCAGTTTTATATTTTTTATAAGACAAATTTTTATTAATAACATCCGAGTGGAAAGTTCAACGAGTATTATGAGTTATAAAGACCATTAAAAAGCAATTTAAACAATGAAACTAAAGAAATCTATTAAAGGAAACTAGTTTTTAATGTCATGTTTTTCCGAACACAGTATAGCGTGCTAAAAGGTTTTTAGCATAGCAGACAATACTGCGGTTTAGTCGTAGACTAAGAGTCGGTAAAAATTTTTTACTTGAATTCATTTGATAGATCAACATTGTTACTCTCTCTACCGATATAAACCAATCCTTCTAATAATATAAATTGTTCTTGTAAAACGATAGTTTGATGCTTGCTACTATAGACAATATTTTATCAAAACTATTTTTTGATAAAATATTGTCTATAGCTAAATCCTTGAGTTACCTATTTATAATCAAAACAATTCTGGAATATCGAGAACTTCTAATACTTTTATTCAGAAAATTTCATCTTTTCTTATCGATTGTTTTGAGTTGTAAATTTATTCAATTTATTTTCGATTTTTATTTAACAAAATAGTTATTTTAAATTCTAATGACGTGACATAATGTTACAAATAGTTTTTTTTTTAATTTTGTCTATCGACGTAAATGGTTATATAAGGTTAGTATTGCCTTCTAACTGATAATCAAATAAAAATATTCACATTTAAATAAAACACTTTAACGGTTTAAAACGCGATATATTAGTTAAACTTATTTGAAAATGATTTTTAACTTGGTCCCGACGTTTTGGATGCTTTGCAGCAGCCGTCGTGGTCACGGGGAGACTCCCCGTGACCACGGCTGACGACTGCTGACTACAAGACTCATTTTAACCAATATATCGCGTTTTAAACCGTTAAAGTATTTTATTTAAATGTGTACTACTCGCGTAAACTATAGACAGTATTTAAAAATATTCTCGTGTAAAAGTAGTGAGGCATATCTTTTGCTAACATTTCATCGCGGATCCAATTATCGCTGCTCATTGAAAACTTGCCATTGAACTAACCGCAAGAACTTTGCTCATAATAAATGAAACAATAAGAAATATTTAACGCCTTTGTTGTACAGCGCTAACTTAAAACGTTTCAACATTAAAAGACTCGCAGATTTCATTAAATAAAGTTGCACGAAGGAATTAATGGAGGGACAACCTTTGATATGCCTTACAATACATTAAGCTAATGTGCTGTGGATGTCAAAGAATTTATTTATATTCTTGCTCGTAAAATAAAGTAAGCAACGCTGTTTTATTATAAACACACTTTCTAGCTGTTACTAAACAAAAATAAGTAGTATGTTTCTAATTCATTTGTAATTTTACTTGGGCTTTGTCTGGATTGCCAAATATAAATATGAGAGGTAGAAATTTTAATGCCGACGGAAAAGCCCTGAAGTTGAATTGTATTTCAGTATCAGTATGTAGATTTAGTCGACAACGCACCTTGTTAAGATGTCATATTAAGTATTTCACTTTTCATCACATGTTGGACCTCCTCGAACATAAAATAAATATAATTAAAATTAACTATGACTGAAATAATATGTCACTTCATTAAAATTGGTAGTCGCCTCTACGGCGTAGAAGTACCTACGAGACACGATTTTTGCGACCATACAGCACTACAGCACAGTTTAAAATTTCGTCATCTAGCAACCTTCAACACTGTAAGGTCAATAATTTGGTCTATTAGTGATTTGATCCCCAAAGAATTAAATTAAGGTATATTAGTTACTCTCTTAATATAATTTTATGAAATATAAAATAAATACATATTCCTTCTTTCGTGTACATATCTTACATACTCTAGTATTATATTAGTATGAGAAATAATAGAAACATTTGATCTATAGCTAAAGATACATATATAGAAGATAGTATCGTACAATTTAACTTCACCAGATTTTAATGATGAATAATATCGTAAGTTACAAGTGCCTCGTGAATATGTATTGAAGAATGGACTAAAGTAACATGTAGATAAAGGTCAGAGT